TGAGTGCTCACCTTTACAAGTCATTAGAATACAAGAAAAGATCGATAGAAGCTGACGGCAATAAACCAAAAAAGCGTGCAAAAGGTTATGAGCCACCGGTGGCTCATAATGTCACCAACGTGCTAGCTATAACTCTGTTATCCAAAACGCTAAGCATCAGTAAAGCAATTTTTAGGGCACTTGAGGACAGAAATACAGTTGACTGGATCACCCCCTTTCAGGACAATCTACTCATCGACCTTGTGCTGCTCGTAATCTTGGCAAGGACCGCGTGGTCTGTGTATGCAACAGCACATACTGTGACGATATAGAACCCGTTGGAGACCTTCGACTAGGGCAAGCAGTGCTGTACTATTCACATCAAAATGATAGCCGGTTGGTCAGGTCTAATCTGCGACAGACTGCCAACCGAGCAGGTACGCACAAAGAACTTTCTAGGCAGGATGAAAGTTGCTGCGCTAATGAGGACCTCCGCTGAACTGTGGAAAACGATTAAAGCTTCTTCTCATTTTTTGCAGTGAACAGCAGCCTTCTCACCTTGGATTCCCGAACGACTTACCAGAAAATGTTGGGATTTGGTGGAGCGTTCACTGATGCAGTCGGCATAGTGCTGCAAACGTTACCCAAGCCGATGCAAGACGCTATATTGGAAGGATACTATGGCTCCAGCGGTAATACAGTAATGATGTCCTTCTTTATAATACTCAGTAATAGGTTTCTAGGTCTACAGTACACCATTGGACGAGTGCCAATTGCTAGTACAGATTTCTCCACACACGAGTACAGCTATGCTGACACACCGAATGATTTCTCCCTCAAAAACTTCTCCCTAACTATCGAAGACTGGGAGTACAAGGTTCAAGATTATTGATTTTAAGCTTGTTCTGCTCTGTTTAAAAGTTCCCGTCAATTCTGTGGCAAAAAAATCGCTGAGAAGGGAACTATCCTTGAAAAACGCTCCGTAAATATAAGGCAGCTGGTTTTTGAGTTACGAGGGAACGGAGGGGCAGGGGAAGGTGGGTGCTCCTTGTGATTTTGGTGGTGCATCCTTATTTTAACCAACCGTATGGCGATATGTAGCAATAGGGCGATAGGGCGAGCACACTTTGCCCTTATCCAGAATCTCAGACTTAAAGCAGAGCCTGCATTCATTTGATGTTCCTACGCCCTCCTTAGATATCGTAGCTTTGCCGACAAGGATGGAGGATGTACTAATTTCGCAGCTCAAAAATACGAGAGGATGGCGCCATCCGCTTGTGAAGAGGCTGCCGCCCCGCCCACCTGCCCTGGCTGCCACAACGTTCATTTCTAAGATGTCTATGGGGCAGTTGTTCTGCTACCGACTCTCTCCACTTTGGATGGTAAGAATGAGCTGCTCAGGGAAAACAACTGATACCTGCAAGAGAGAGTTCATACAACCACACCTTTTCTTCGCTTTGTGAACGCACAACTTCAGTTCAGCATAAGGTTCCATATAGGGCATTTCTCACAATTTTTTTCAGCTATTCCCTTCACTACTGGATCACTTGCTATCTTGTTATTACTACATATACGAACCCCAGGCACTATTTACCTTTACTGCCCCAACCATCCAGAATTGTGCCAGATTTTGACCGACTTTTTTCTCCGTGCACAGATTTGGCTCAAATGTTGTCTCCTGGGGTAGTTTGACCTCCCTGAATACGAATATCACATTCGCTTAGCCCGAGACTTCCTGGCGCCCGCGCCACAGGCGCCGGTGGTTCGGGATATTTTGGCGCCAGCGCCTGCAGCGCGCCGCTAGGAGGTTTCGGACTAAGCGGATGTGATATTCGTGTTCAGGAGGTCAGACTACCCCCAACAAGTTTTCAGCAAATTTGGTGGTTTAGTGTATTTTGGCGCCGATGTGATATTCATGTTCAGGAGGTCAAAATACCCCAGGGAACAAATTTTTAGCCAATTCTGCCAACGCAGTAAAAGTCGGTTGAAAACTGGCCTGTTTTCGGAAGACTTGGGGCAGTAAAGGGTAAATAGTGCCGAACCCCATAACCCATTACAAATTTTGAAAGCCGGTTCAGCCTTCAAC